GAAGTTGTAGTACTTTGTCAGCAGCGACGGCCTGTTGACCAATCCCTCGATGCCTCACCTCTTCTAAAGAGCACAAGATTTCTGTCAAAATCATAAAAAAAAGCGAAAACAAAGTTTGTACATTGTGCGCTCCTCTCATTCCGCCTCGTCGATAGGAATCGGCGCCGCGCGTTCGTGGTAAATTTTCCTCGTCTGCTGCTCCACCATCTTCCTCTATCGATTTTTTTCTTTTCCCTCTTTCCGGCGGATTCTGATAGGCGCCTGATGAACGCGTTTCGCCAGTTCGTTGAGGATTTGATTTTGCTGGGCCAGCACGACCGCCTGCAAAATGTTGCCGTGATCAGTTCATTAAACAGCAAATTTTACCTCCTGCACCCACTGGCACTATTATATCAACAGTTTTCTTTTGAGCCTGCCCAAGCTGAAGACGCATGTAACTGATATAAATCAATGAATCGTAAAAAGACCTCATTGCACATGACGACTCTGAGGCAGACTCTAGCTGCCTATACACTAAGCATGCCTACCATGGCCCGAAATTTAAAAGAGCAACATATTAAAACTTGCCCCTTCTTCCAGAGCGACTAAATTCCTGATGCTTTCTCGGCTCATACAGTTGCTGCGCACTGCGATGCGAGCCAGCCTGACGACTGGCTGTTCTGACCTGCCCCTGTCGCTCGGTTGTAGCACCCTGCTCCTGCGTAGCTGTCGCAGAATCCGCATCCCCACCTTCCACTGGCTTTTCCGCTATTGGCTCTTTTGGTGCGGTATTCATCACATACGTGTCCTCGACATGGAACTCCCCCATATTTGAGAAATTGTCTTGCTGAAAGCATCACTGTAAATCGATCTTCATTTGAAATCATGTGGAACAAAATTTCAAAACTGATGCCTAACCACAGCGGATCCGCTCGAATTCAGCGAGCAAAAAGCACTCGTTTTCGGATTTGGGTGAGAATTGTGGTAGCTGTTGTACCAGATTCTTTTCCCAGTGCGGATCTGGGGGTGCAAGCACAGGTTTATTAGCTTCCCAGCACCTGGTTTCTTGCTTAGCATAATAAACCCACAAAGGGAGGAAATGATGCTAAGTTTTCGTGAAAACCACAATGCAGTTTTATTTCAAGCATAATTTTATGTTCCTCGACTGGCTTGCTTCTTTATCTCCTCGAC